TTTAAAAGATTGAGTTTACAATACTTTGAATCTTTTTCAGATGATGTGATTAAATAGTTACTCCCTTGAGTGACTTTGACCTTAAGTTTGGATATAATAGGAAATACTGCAATTTTGCCAGAGGTCATTACAATAAACTAAATCTTTGGTTGTAATGTATGTCTTTATTTGGTTTATTTATACCCTCTAAACTTTTGAACCAAGTAAATGTTACATGAACTAAAGTACAGTGGACCCTCGAGTTACCACCAGTCTGACATACAAATAACTTGGGTTACAACCGTAATTGTAGTTTTAACTTGAGAACAAAGTCTTAAGTTATGGCCCAAATGCTGGCAGCTTGTGCTTCCAGATGGTCTTGATATAGATTTAAGCCTTAAGAGTTCTGGAAGGAATATTACAACATCTTTTCCTGTATGGGGTTAATTGAGAAATCCTGCGTGAATATCTTTCTAAAGACACTGAGATCTGCCTGTACACAAGAGATAAACTTTGAAGGCTGTGTCGAGGAGCCTGAGCCTTCAATTGACCAATTTGAGTTACAACCAGCCCTTGATAACATAAGTCAAGGGTCTACTATAACCATAAAATAGACTCTCGGTATTTTACAATGTTAATATTGAATTAATACTATAATGAACTGTGTCATTGTTTGTTGCTATGAGGAACTTGTTCATTATTTCAAGGCACAATTTCTACTCAAAATTATCAGGTTTAGTGGATAAGGAGATGGTTCTTAAAAGTCAAGGCACTTAATGGACCTTTCATTGATTGTATCTGGTAAGATTTACCAAGTAATTATAGCAGTAGAGCAACATTCTCATTGCTAATTAGAGAAAGGCATTCAGAATCTTTCAGAAATTTTTAATTTGATTCTCATATATTTTTCAATGTTATTGATTTCTATTCAATATCTTTTCAAGTAAATACTTCCAGATAAGCAGTTAGCTTAATGCTACACCAATATATTAATTGACTGGCATCTTTAATTAACTAATATTTCTTCTTGGACTGTGTTTAGTCTGCACAGAAAAGAGACAAAGGAAAGCCAAATAAAAGTGTCATTTTTCTTTGTTTAATTTTCAGGGAAAGCTCAAGGTCACATAGATTCAGCCTAATCTTTTATGCTTTCTGTATTTGTGGTGTTATATAATGATAACTGTTCTAACTCCATCCATGAAAGGTGTTATTGTAATATCCTATGTTAAGGAAAGATTCTGTTATTACAGCAATTAGCTTTCAGAGTTAACTAATGAGTACATCACTGAAGATTACTACTTTGCACTTTTTACTGTGAAGGAGATCTTATCATCTAGGGAATCCATCAGGAGAGAATTGGCACACCCAAACTGAAAACCTCGGTGACTTTCACAGGTTTGGGTAGGATTTAGGGAAACCAAGAAAGGTAGTTGATTGCTCTTGCCATTTACTGTGGGGAGAGGAGGGAACAAGCCTACAATTTTTGGACCTGGTTAAACAAAGAGATAGTGTTTCATCTCCCAAACCTACTGGAAACCACAGTAATCAGAATTACTTCCCCAAGGTTCAGAGCAAGGTAGGAAGATGTACAAAGTATATCTGGAGAGAAACAGAATTATGGCACAAGAGAGGACATGAAAAATCAATAAAATCAATAGTGGGTAAACTTTCGCAAGCCAAGCTGGATTGCAGCTCTGGATCTTGTCTAGAAAACAAAAAAAGTCAACATTTATTGAGTGTTGTTCCAATTACCCTTGCTATTTAACAAACCACACTAAATTTAGTACACGAAGTAGCCAACACTTTATCATACTCACAGATTCCGTAGGCCAGAATTTAGACAGGCACACTGGGAGGGTATCTCTCCGCTCCACTGTGTTTAGCACCTCAGCTAGAAAGACTCAGTGGGGGTGACTTCAGTTGGAGTGACTCATGCCTGGAGGCTGGAACTATCTGGAGGCTCCTTCACTCACATGACTGGACTCATCTGGGACCGTCCACCCAGGTACCTATATGTGATCTCTCTAAGGGGGTACCTATATGTGATCTCTCTAAGTACCTATATGTGATCTATCCTGAGAGTCAGAGGTCCAAAAGAACCAGATGGAAGATACTCCATAGCCTTTTCTGATTTGGGCTTAAAGTTTCACTTCTGCATTTATTCCAAGATGAACGGAATTAGTCTCATGTCTCATGCCTCGTGTCTTATTGGAGGGGTGTCCAACTCACATTATACAAGGGTGTGCTGAGTAGGAGATTATTGTTACAATCCTCTTTGGAAAATGTACGCTGTATGCATGTTCACTAAGCCAATATGAACTAATATAACTTTGAAATATTCTGACCACAATTCCAACAAAATATTTTCTAGGTTAACCATGAAATTATATTGACCAGAATCTTCATTTTTAAAATGCTCTTAATTGATTATAGAGTTTAAAATTTGAGCCCAAATAGCTCAGTTTCCTGCCCTGAAATAGCTGGAATATCATTGCTCTCATTTTCCTCCAGAGTATCCCAAGAGATATGTAGAAGGAAAAGTAGGGGCAAGAACGCAAGCCTTTTTGTATTCATTTATTGGTTTTATTGTAGTTAGTAATTCATTTAGCTAACCAGAAATTAACCAAGGATGAAATTATAAGTTAAATTTCAGCAAACGAATGTGGAAACATCAGACTTGGGGAAAGGCATTTGTCCAGGTACTGCTTTCCTACAACATCAAAGAAGTCCATCAATTGGATCGGAACCTCATTCCCTGAAAGATTTAGGCTTATCCTGGTACCTATCACAAGGAACCAGAAGGGCTAGGAAGATAATAAGATTAATGGCCACCAAGACCATTATTGTCAAAGTAGAAACCCTGACATGTAGTTACTAATTTTCCACTTAGCACTAAATCAAATCTGCCTAGCCAGACCACCTGGTCATCTCACTGCTGGTCCAGTATGTTGACCCATGAAATATCGTTAACTTCCTGGAAGGAATTTTAAATAAAGGTTTGTGCCCTTCTATTGTTTGTGAAGTCAGGAGCACTGAGCATGTTTATCATTTCTATTCATGTATACAAATAAGCTCTTCAGAGATGTTTCCTACCTCTTCAAGTCACCTGAGAGTTTCCTTTTACATTTTGACAATAATTTGCCAAAAACTTTAATTTATCCTAAACTTTAATGAAACTTCTAAGCAGTTAAACTTTTTTCTTTTTCCCACAATACAATAGCAGCTACCTGTCGTCTTTTTTGGTACCAACAGTTTCAGTCTTGATTCCGCTGACATTGGGTATTAGCTGAGAAAGGCTAAATGGTTGAAATTTTAGGAGATTGACTGTTGTGGCTTAATCAAGAATATCCTCCAAATACCTTATTGTGCTCAGAAGCAGGGCTTTTAAAAGATGATTGGATTATGGAGGTGCAACAACTGATTGCTGTTAGGATGTAGGGCTTGGTTAGAGGTTGGTCACTGGGCGCCTGATCTAGAGGGTATAGCTCTTTCTCTGGCTCCTTCCTTTTTCTCTCCCTGCTTCCTAGCCACCATGACATGAGCAACTTTCCCCTACTATGCCCCTCTGCAATGCCATGTCTGGCCTGAAGTGAGCTGAACTGCAACTGTGAAGCAAAATAAACCTCTCCTCCTTAAGTTGCAGTGGTCAGGTATTTTGTCTCAGCAATAAGAAAATGACTAAGACACTGCCTTACTGTTTTGCAATTTTTTATGGTTTAAAAGATGAGATATCCTTTAGTATCTGGGTGTTCCAGCATGCCTAGGTGTTCAGATGGTAGGAAAGCTGGCTTCAGTCGAGTCCTACCAGCTATGCATCTGCAGTGAGTCCTTCAGTGAACTTGGCAATTAAAAAGGAAGTGAGCAGCTTATTGGATTTCTCACAGAATCTTTCCAGTTGTGATGTTCTGTACACCAGAAAGCCTGCTCAAGACTTGGCTATCAGGGCTGGGGTGTGGCTCAGTGATGGAACACTTGCCTAGCATGCACAAAATCCTGTATTCAATCTCCTGCACCACAAAAAAATGGATATTCTTTGAACAGGGTGTGCAAGCTGATTGCTCTGTCCCCTAGTGGGCTCAGTCCTCAGCAGTATTACTCAGTGTTTCCCATTTAATATCAGAGCAGTAGACTTTTGAAGAGAGATGCTGACTCTTGTCCTCACTTCCCCTTCACTTTTTCATTCATAATATACTGGCACTCTTACAAGTTCTCTTGCCAACAATGTCACAGTTAGCCAAGCTAGTGGTCATTTCTCTTTCTTAATCCATATGAGTTCACTTGCCTGAGTTTCTTCAACTGTTAGTTAGCAATAATGATTATGTTGACCCCATTAAATTGCTATGAGGTTTTAGTTATTATGCATCATAACAGATAATAGGTAATACATTAATTAGATAATACATACACACACACCTACACACACACACACACACACACACAGAGTTAGAACAGTGCCTGGGATATGCATTTTTTGCCATCACCCCCCCATATGCCTCCCTTACATTATATACTTGGTCTTCGAAGATAATAGAATTATCAATCTTTGCAATCCAAACCTTATAGTTTAAAAAAATAGTGTGACTAATTCAACATTATTTTGAATTCCATTACTACCTTTCAGAATTTTCCAATCCAAACTAATCTAAAGGTTTCTACCTCCTTATTGTTTTGTTAAGCTAGTAATGTAGTACTTGGCTTGTAACACCTGGTGACAACATCTCATTTCCTTATATAAATCTCAGTTTATCTTGTCTCCATGGCTAGATTGTAATGTACATAATAAATTATAATCTACCAGTATTTTTTTGAAGAAGAATAACCTATCTTTCCTTAAAAAATAATCTTTCCAGCCATTGCCAGCTCTAGCATGAGGACAGCTAAAAAGAGCTCTACTTAAAAAAATAATATTGGAACAACTTTTGCATTATAAGCATGATCACTTAAATGATCAAGCACCTCACCTGACAGTGAGCATATGGGCTCAGGACTCAATATATGTGGATGTGTCTGTCTACACCCAGGTATCCGTCGCCAGACTGCTCATTGTGTGAAGAAAGGCCAAGGGATGGTGAAAGCCACATTCTGTAACCCAGAAACACAGCCTAATGGGAGACAGAAGAAGTGCTATGAAAAGGACTGTCCACCCAGGTAACTAGGAATAACATGGAACTGGAGTTCTATGTGCCTAACTACAGCTGTGTCTAATTTAAGGGTAATCCAGTACATAGTGATAAAGGAAAACTATGGGCTTTGCAATTATAAGAGATACAGAAAAGCTGTTAGAAGTTTCTATGACAGTTATTGGAGCCTGGTTCAAGCTGTGGGGACATTTTCTTCCCAGGGAGCAGTATTTTTTACAAAGTTGATATGTTGTGTGTGATATGTTACTTATCTGGTAAGTTTAAGATCCAAGCATTGTTGAAGAGAACGCTAGGTAGATCCAAGAGCACTTTACCTGTGCAGCTTCAGCTTATGTTGGCATTTTCAGATTATGGAGCCTGCTCAGACTGGGAGTGGGCCTGGGAGAGAGGACTTGCAGAGCAGGCTTTCTTGGCCTCAGCACTACTGGGGCTGGAGACTGGTGTGGGGGCTGTCCCATGAACAGTAGGTGCTCAGCAACATCCCTGGCCTGTATTTGCTTAGACGCTAGTAGGATTCCCTGCCTCCCAGTTCAGGTTTTGACAACCAAAATGTCTCCAGATGTAGCCAGATCTCCTTCTAGGGGCAAAATCACCCATAGCCAAAAACCTCTGTTAGAAAGCTACTCATTCCCTAGTCACGTTAGTTCAGATGCTAGGATCCTAAAAGTTAGAAGAACTAACTTAGAAAAGTTAGGGAGAGAGAGACAGAGAGAGGGAGAGGGAGAAGATGAAAGGAGCAAGAAAGGGAAGGAGGGGAAAAGAAGAAAGGAAGGTTTATTTCTGGAGAATATCTTAATTCTCTAGTGTTCTTAAGCAGGAATATGTTTAGGTTACAGATTCTACCTGGCATTTATTTCAGTCCAATGCAAACACCTAGAGGAGTTTAAATAGAAAACCAATTGGTATCATAAATCAAACAAGTGACCAGTTGGATTCTAAAGAAGACCTAGACTGTGATAAATGCTAGACAGCTAGGTAGAAAAGAAGAATCAAACAAGCCAGTTTAGGGGAGCAACATCAGCCCCCTAGAAGGTCAGACAGGCAGGATGCAGAGGCCAGGGCACCCTCTTCTGAATCAGGTTTGTTCTCCACTCAATTCTGTGTTTTCCTTTGGGTAAGAGGTGGGCTGTGAGGTCGAAGCTGGGCTCTACCCTGTGGAGGGAGGACAGAGATGTTACAGTCTCCTCAGGCCACTGTAGTCCTTTCCTGTGCCTCTTTTCTTGGGAAGAACTAGGAGTATCAAGGGGAGATTAGGCCATTACTGTGTTTTGTTTGTAATCTCAGTTACTACATTACCTTCTCAGAGAAAAGTGAGCCAGGAGAGACAACTGTCTTAGAGCCAGTTGATCACCTACTACTCTACAGAGTTCGTGCACTTTATTTGAATTTGCTCTCTGTCAAAGTTAATGAGCCTCTGTAAATAAATTCTTGGTGTATTCCTTAGGTAGCAACCAGTGCACCAGGGCCTGGGAGTCTCTCCTTGCTCTTCAAAACCGTTCTCTGTTGGACTGGCTGGCTACCTTTTTAAAACCACAGCTGTTTCTTTCCTGAAGCTAATTTTATTTCTGGAACTCATATTCTCCTTTTTATGGTTTTATGTAGTCTGTTTTGGCCTTCACATTACTAGAAAATATCTGTAAAGCACCTGCTGTTCCCCAGGAGAGCCAGCATAGGATAATAACCAGATTCCAGCCCATTTGTTGAGCACCTACTTTGCTCTCAGCTGTTAGAAGCAGCTTGTGCATTTTCCTTATTATTCTCAACTACTTGGAAAATTAGCTATTATTATGCCAATTTTCCAAGGGAAGAAATGTCACTTAATGAGACCAGGATGAGTGTGGGTAGGCAGAGATTTGAACCCAGAGCTGACCATCTCTAAAGCCTGTAGTCTCTGTTACATGCAGCAGACCCTCCAAAGAGAGGCATCCACTTTTCCACTTATTGGGCTGTGTCTGAAGCAAGGTGAATGCTGTGCTTCACATAGTGGCCACCAGAAGATCCCAATGAAAGCACTTGCCTGCGAGGCCAAGGGGAAAGCCGGGGATATTGCCTGTGTACATGAAAGCAACAGAGTCAAAGAAGACTGTGAGTTCACAATCAGCTCCTTGCTTTAGAACAGACTTTAATCTGTACTTGATATTTTCTTGTTCACTTATTAATGAAAACTTGACTTCATTATTTTTAGAATTCGTTTCCTATAAGGGTGGTTATCTTTGCCTACCTCTACACACCAAGTGCAAGAACTTACTATTTGGAGCTAACTTTAAGGCAATATATAGCTAAGGCTGCTAGAGAGAGATGGCTATTGAAGCAAAAGTCTAGAGGCTGGAGGACAGGAGATGAGCTGATGCTAAAGCCCAACACAGGGAAGGAGCCTGGATAAAGAAATTCCTAAGTGATACAGGCTGAGCTCTCTGGACTTAAATCTGGCCCCTGAGTATGGTAGTGTGATAGGCTGGAAAAGGGCTGCAAGTCACCCATGTCCTAATATCTGGAGCCTATATAAACATCACCTTATTGGAAAAAAGAGCCAGGAAAGACAACTGCCTAGAAATATTCTACAGAGTTCGTTCACTTTGCAGATGTGATTAAATTTAGGATCTTGAGATGAGGAGATGATCCTGGTTATATAGGAGAGCCCTAAATGCCATCGCCAGTGTCCTCCTCAGATAGGCAAAGGACAATTACACACACACACACACACACACACAGATTTGAAGATACTGACCTTGAAGATTATAGTAGTACAGCCACCAGACAAGTATATTGACAGTGATCACAAACTGAAGACATAAATAAAGGACTCTACCCTAGAGCCTTCAGAAGGAGCACATCCTTACTGACACCTGAATTTTAGTGCAGTAATACTGATTTTAGACATCTGGAATCCAAAACTATAAGAGACTAAATTTATATTTTTTGAGCTACCAAATATATTTGACACATTCTTGTTGCTGGGACAAAACAGCTAACACTTGCAACTTAAAGGAGCACTTATTTTGGCTTAGAGTTTCAGTGGGTTCAGCTCACTTGGAGAAGAGCAAGGTGGAGGAAAGCTGTTTACCGTGTTGTGGACAGGAAGCAAAAAAAGAAGGGATGAACCAGGAATGAGAATAAATCCTTCCACGTCACACCTCCAATGTCTTGCTCCTTCCATCCATGCCCCACCTCTGAATATGAGACTTTGGGAGGGCATTTCAGATCTAACCATAATACCAAGTTTGTGTTACTTTGCTACAGCAGACACAGGGCACTAAGACAGGCCACTTAATGCAAGCATAAAAGCAGGAGAAGGGCAAATGAGATTCCACCACCAAATTACAGAGGCTCCAAAGCACTTTCCTTGAGATATGTAGCAAAGTAGGTTTGGGAATGGCACCATTACCTGTATGTCACCCGCTTAAGAAGTTTACAACCAGGAAGGTAATATAAGGTACATGTACATTGGTAAGATGGGGCCGTTTTCAGGACTGGAGCCTGTGTCAGGTGCTCAGCTCAACGCCCTTCCTTCCTGGCTGCTGTCCACAGGTTCCTGCTTTCCTTGTAGCTTTGTGGTTAGTAGGCATCTTTTCATCTCTTTGCTGTGAAAGCAGCATGATAGAACAAGGTTAATGATATTCTTTTCTCCTGCAGTGTTTCTTAAGCTGAGTGAGTACACAGATTCAACTTGTTGATCCAGAGCAAAATTCTTAAACAGACCACACAGCCTCCTCTTACAAAATGAGTAATGAAGCTCTAGCGGTCAGAATGCAAGTACCAATAGCCACACACAGGACACACACAGGGCCAGACAGCCACTGCATGGTCCCAGCCAGTGCAAATGTGATATCCAGGGCCCAGATGTTCTTGGTGAGCTGATGATCATTTCTACAGTGGATGCTTCTGCCTTCTACATTGTCACACTTCAGGAGAAGAAAACGATTCATCCTTTTCCCCAGCTTCTGCTGTTGCATTGGAAACATAATTTCCTCCAAATAACTTGAAGATTATACTTGAGGAAAATGATCAAAGCATAAGCAATTTGTCAAGTCTTTCTACAGCTTTGCCATTTGGTAGCATTTTATGTTTCTACTTAAGCTATTTTTCCCTTCTCTTGGCATCTGTCTCCCAAGGTCTAAGTTTCTTTGAGACTCTTTTTTTTCATGATTAATGCCAAGGCTCCCAGCTTGTGGTCATTAAAGATCAACAAAATTAGCAGGTCAAGCCTGAGTTGACTCAGTTCAAATCTCAAGCTAAAGATTTACTCCTCAGAAGGAGATATATTATTGATCCAATGGTCTCTTCTGAAGCTCCAAAATAAAATTTTTTCCTTGTTTTGCTTCCCTACTCAAAATGATGTGTGCACACACAGAAGCACAAACGCACAAACATACATACATACACTCAGACATTCATGCATACACACATTTATTTTTAAAATAAATGATTTCTGATTTTAGGTGATTACTTGGCCTCAACTGGTTAATTTTATTGAAATCTCATTTTAAAACATTTATTTTTTTCTCATGCAGTGTACATATAATCCCTTACTTGTATCCATATTTGTTTATTTAATTCATCTTGAATAAAATGACTTAAAACCTTTAGTAAAGGCATCAATTAGAAAATCAAGTGCAGTGCTCCTATTATGCAGTTCATTTATGTTGAAAGAAAGTTCCAACTCAGCTAGAGTTAGACTCCTAAAAATGTTAATTATACACATACAGTTAAAATTTCTAAGAATGCATTCTGAAGTAGAATGTGATAAGCTAAATAGACTCTATGAAATATTCAGGCACAGTGCTTGGCTTTTTAAAAGTCTTCTTATTTGTGATCACATTTCAGCTTCCACATTTATGAAGTAGTCAGGAGAGGGTGCAAATATTACCTCCAAGTACTGTGTGAGGAGATAAGAATTCAGAGAAATTCGATGCTATGTGCTAGAGGGAAAAGGATGGAGAAGAAACTAGCAATTTTTAACCATCCACTGTTTTCCAAGCCCTTCATATAAGGCCGTATCATGTAAAC